GTGTAGTGGAATGAATACCAGTATACAACTACCATCAACAATGCAAAAATGAAAGATATTTTTGTAATTAGGGTTAGTAGACTAAATGAGCTATTCACGAAGACACGATACAATTCAGTTCGTTCCGTAAAATGGTAAAAGTTTGAGCACTGCTTGTTCACTTATTTGAATGACTCGAGCCTAAGAGATAATCAACTTCATTTGTTAAACAAGTCGAACCAATTTCTTTTCCAAACAACTCATTTTTAGTTTTTTCTTTTTTTAAAAAAAAAATATGAATTTTAAATGAAATGATCGGATTGAACTTATTCGTAAACAACTCAGTTTAAGTTTCAGGTTTATGAAACGAGTCAAGCTTATACGAGCACGAGCACGAGCTCGAACACGAGCTATTTAGTCAACTCGAATAATACCCCTATGTGTAACCAAGTATAGGTTGGCCATGTGCACTTTCCCTTTAAAATAAAGCACAAATACAATGGGTTTCTTCAATTTTAAATCACAAATAATTTTGTTAGGCTACATAACCATTAGACAATTATATATTTTATTTTAAAAAGTGTATATTTATAATAATAAATGTCATACTTTTGGTATTTTAAAATATGATATTTGAGTATAAAAACATATAATTTTATGGGAATAGTATTACTAACCATTAATCAACCTAACACAAGACTAATTGTGTTTAGATATAACATTTCTTTAAATGTTACATTGTTACTTCATCATCATAACATAAGTCTGATTCGAATGAAATCGATTAATCCAAAAAGCGTTCATATCGAATAATCGAGAATCAAACCGAAGAGCGGAAGCGTACCTGATTGATCCATGTTGATTGATTGCTTTGGAATTGAATTGGGATTCTGGATTTGGGATTTGAAATTCTTTCAAAAGACCGTGACCGTATCTCTTCTATTCTGACATACAAAAGTGACTGAATGAAGAGTAGTGCGGACGGAAATTTCTTTCGTAACCCTTAATACAGAATCCCAAGGCCCCCCTTTTATTTTCACGACTTTTGGGAACTCCACCTGATGGGCCTACTTCCAGATCTGGAGTAAACCGGTTGTTGTGAGCTCCAATCTGCTTGAACCGCTTCTCAATCCTTGCTAGACCGCGAGATTCCTGCAAAAACTCAACGCCGGAGGTGTTTCCGGCGTAGAGCCTCCGACGCTCAAGTCAGTATGAGAGTGATGAAGAGATGCTGCGCAGCAGCTATGGGGAGAGCGGGAATGAATGAGAGTTAGGGTTTTGGGGTTATCTCATCTCCTTTATATAGGAGGGAATACTTACTTGAAGTGCCCAAAATGCCCAAGTCGGTGGACCTAGAAGGTCCAAAATGCCCTGGTCGATTCGTCTCCCCTTGTTGCTGAGTCATCACAAGATTCCTTCTTATCCTTTGTAATATGTGGAACTTCAAATATGCTGCAAGTATGATGAATCGTCACCATGTTCTCGGCCTTGAAGCGTAAGAAGTCGACCTCGAGCACCGGGAGGTCGACTCATGATCATATGAGTATCCGGAGGCTACGCTTTATCGTTCTTTTGAGTGGAAATCGTCTTCAGAGAATCGTCTTAGCGAGGTCGACTTCTGAGAGTCGACTTAGAGTATCTGGATGCTCGGAAGTTATGCTTTTGCTGTTCTTCTGCTGTTGATGTCGACTAGAGAAAGTCGATAGGCTAAGGGCGACTTCTGAGAGTCGACTAGGCTGATTCCTGCCTCTTCTTGATTGCTCTCCATAGAATCGACTTTAGGGAAGTCGATTTGGACATGTCGACATGCAAGTTGTTCGAATGGTTCACCGGTCGAGTAAGGAGCCTCTGGACCGGGTTATCCTTATGTGGCTATATCACCACCCATTAATTATTTTGATCCAATTATTTGCTATTTAGGTCCTTAAGTTTAATATTATTATTTGTCATGTCACCAAATAATAATATTACCAGGTGTCCAAATTTAATCATTTCACAATCTAAATTAAGTTCCTTAGCCAATGTACAATAAGTTGATCACTTAATTTAGCTAAACAATATAATGATCCAATATATCAATATTTACACACGATTAATCTCAAAATAGATCTAACATGAAATCCATAGCTCTTTTGAGCTTCAATAACTAACTAATTAGCATTGCAAAGGTCCCTAAACAATTATGAAACACAACAATATAAATCAATCACATGCCATAACAGAACGAATTTTAAAATACTGATCAAAATAACACACAAAAGAAAATCTAATATTCGTGAGCACTAACATTTTGATTGAGAAAATTAAATCGATGTTAACCAAATAAAAATTACCAAAAAAATTACCTTAGATAAAGAATCTGATTGAAAACCAAACGCTAGGGTTCTTGAGCTGAATGGTAAGTTGAAGGATCCTTGCAAATATTTCGAATCTACT